AAAAAAAAAAAAGTACAACTTAAGGTATGTTTAAAAATGTGCAATTGGTGTTTTGGGATAGGTAGATTTGAAGCACAAATGTAATATAAAATTATAACCTCAACCTAAATTTATAATGGAATATGTGAGAGGTTGATGGTAGAACCAAGGTTACTTCTGGGGGTGGAGGAGGACAGGTTATCAGGAGTTAACATAAAGGAAGCCTGCTTTGTTGTAGTTGTCAAGTGTGACTGAGTCAATTTTGACTCATAGTGATCCTGTATAGGATTTCTGAGGAGTAGCTGGTGGGTTTGAACCACAGGCCTTGAGGTTAGCAATCCAGTGCTAATCCTACAGCACCACACACCAAGACTCCAGGGAGCCTGCTAAGGTACTGGAAATGGTCTGTATTATGGTGGTGGTGGTATGTGCCGTGGAGTTAGTTCCGACTCATAGCGACACTGTACAGGGTTTCTGAGGCTGTAAATCGGTATACAAATATATAAAAATTCATTCAGTTGTACATTTGATATCTTATATAAGGAGATATTCCCAGGCACCTGCCTCAAAGATTTTGAGTCAGTTGGCCCTGAGTGGGGCCCTGGAATTGGTATTTTAACAAATAACCTCAGATAATTTAAATTCAGGTTTTGTTGGCTGTCTTTGAGAAACACTCACATAGGTTCTGGCTAAATTGGCAACTAGATAATATTAAGCTTTGATTCATACTTAAGCACCAGTGCTGGATGTGTGAGGTTGACTAAATCATTCTTTCCTCCCATAGGAATGTTGTCTGAGGTTTTCAGTACCTCAACCAACGGGAATGACCATTGCTGTATGTTGTGAAACTAGATTGCCTCATAGAGAAGCGGGTTTTGAACTGGTTGGGGTATGAAGAAGGCTTAATTTATATGACAGATTTCAAAAAGTTTGTGGAAAATTTCCAATATCTCTTAATCTCATCTTCCCATGAATTTTCTGAAGCCCCTTGTACCATTGTAACCAACCATTGCTCGAAAAAGGGATGACACTATTATGTCTTCAACTTGGTAGTAGTGAAAACCCTGAAATCGTGATTTTCAAAGACCATAGAATTAAACACAGATTCCAAGGCATACTGGAATAATTACATATCTCATAGAGTTTTCACATATCTTCTCTTCTTTCCTTTTGCCACAAATCTTTGAGAATTGCAAGGTTGATATTACGTTTCCCATTTTATAGGCTATTAAGCAGATTGGAAAGGACCTCTGGTAGCAAAGTGTTTATGAGTCAGGCTGCTAAACCTCAAGGTCAGCAGCACGAAATTACCAGCAGTTCCATGGGAGAAAGATGAAGTTTTCTGCTCCTGTAAAGATTTACAGCCTCGGAAACCCTCTGCAGGGTCGCTAAGAGCGGGAACCGATTCCACAGCACATCATCATCTTCATCAAGCAGATTGAAATCCTGGTGTGGGTCTGTTGGAAAAACCGTCCTGCTAACTGCAAACTCAGCAGTTCAAACCCACCAATCATTCCTTGGAAACACTATACAAGGTCTCTATGAGTTAGAACTGACTCTATGGCACTTAAAAACAATAAGTAGATTTACACAGCCATAAGGAACTCTGGTACCTTAATGGTTATGAGTTGGGTTGCTAACCTAAAGGTCAGCAGTTCGATACTACCAGCGGTTCCATGGGAGAGAGATGAGACTTTCTACTTCCATAAAGATTTACAGCCTCAGAAACCCTATACAGGGTTCCTTGGGTAGGAACCGACTCGACAGCACTTAACAAGAACAACAACAACAACAACAAGAAATTGAGTTGTCCAAAATTGCATAACAGAGTCAGAACCCAAATTCAGAAGTTCTGCTACATTATTCATACCATACTGCTATAGGACTATAGCCCCAGGACACTCATTTTGCCATTTTGAGGAAATGATTGGATATAGCAGTTTTCATTAACTATTTATTTCTTGAAATTTCATAACATGTGCATGAAACCAGAGATTTATTTTGCATTTAGTCCTCTGCAATGACTTAAAAAAAAAAAATACAACAATGACTTTAAAAATAATGAGTAAATAAAACTGACAAATGTCTGAAATAAGTCCCTTCCTCCAACATATTCCTTCTTCAAGAAAATGTGCATTAAAAAAATGTGTTTCCAATAACTTTCAATATGCTGTCACGCTTGGAATAAAGGGAGGAACAATGAAAGAAGTTTGGGGAACTCTTTCATAAAATATAACATCCTGATATATTTTATATATCTGAGTGACCATCATTGTTGTTATTAAGTACCATCAAGCCAGTTCTGACCCATAGCAGCTCTCTATAGGGTTTCTGCGTAGTGACCTTGCGGTTCAGCACTGACTTTGCAGTCTAGTGCATTAACCTACAGTGCCACACCAGGATGAAAATGACCATTTATTAATGATTGAGTGTAACTATTACTCTGAATGCAGTCCTAGTGTGATGCTGTCAGATCAGCACTGGATTGCTAACCACAAAGTTGGTGGTTCAAACCTACCAGATGCTCCTTGAAAACCCTCCACAGGGTCGCTATGAGTCAGCACTGACTTGACAGCACAAAGCAACATGATATGTGACCAAGATTAATCTTTAAAACAAATGTAATTATGACTCTGTTCTCATTGTTCAGATATGCTTTTATAAAGTCCATCAAAGTTTTCCTGGAGTATTTTTATTATTATTATTGCTTGAGATTGTTGTTGTTAAGTGCCATTGAGTCAGTTCTGACCCATAGCAACCCTGTATAGGGTTTCCGAGATGTAGCTGGTGAACTTGAACTTGCAGTTCAAATAGATTTGCAGTCTGGCACATTAACTCACAGCCATTATCATCACTCACATTAACACCAGCCATGATAAAACTTAAGAACAGAAGAGTCAGTTTCTAAAGTCTCTTTTTTATTTTATTACAGGTCCTTAGGGTGTATTACGATCGCCTTCTGGATAATGCAGACAGAAGTTGGCTTGTCAACTACATTCAGGAAATTTTGAAAAAACACATGAATGAAGATTTTCATGAGCTTTTTCGAAGACTGGATTTTGATAATGATGGAGTGGTGGCAGAAGATGACTTGCGCAGTTTAATGTTCTGTGATTTTCATGATCCCAAGAGGGAGGACACCAACTACAAAGAAGTTGCAAATGTGGATGACCTTCGAATGATAGTAGAAACTCACCTAGAAGAATACAATAATATTAGTAAAAAAACCATGAACCTTGTCTTATTCCGATTTGCCATAGAACACATCTGCAGAATCTCCAGGATCCTGAAGCAACCTCGCAGCCATGCTCTTCTGGTTGGTGTGGGAGGGAGTGGAAGGCAGTCTGTCACCAGGTTAGCTGCCCACATGGCTGATTACTCTGTTTTCCAGGTTGAAATCTCCAAGGGCTACGGCAGCTCTGAGTGGCATGAAGATTTAAAAGTGATCCTGAGGAAATGTGCTGAAGGTGAAATGCAAGGTGTCTTCCTATTTACAGATACTCAGATTAAAAGAGAATCATTTCTAGAAGATGTCAACAATTTGCTAAATGCTGGGGAGGTTCCAAATCTCTTTGCATTAGATGAGAAGCAGGAGATATGTGAGAAGATGCGTCAAATAGATCGTCAGCGAGATAAGACCAAACAAACAGATGGTAGTCCCATAGCTCTGTTCAACATGTTTATTGATCGCTGCCGCAATCAACTACACGTGGTCCTCGCCATGAGTCCCATTGGAGATGCGTTCCGGATTCGCCTTAGAAAGTTCCCAGCTCTTGTTAACTGTTGTACAATCGACTGGTTCCAGGTATTACTATTAGATTTTAGATAAACTTCTTGAAATGTTAAATCTTCACAATCATTATGATTTATTTTATAGGCTTTCCCCCCTAAAAAGTCTAATCTATAGCAATGTATTTTGTGAAATTATAATTCAAGAAATCATCATAGTAGAGAAATAAGCTATTAATAGTTTGTGTGGTCATTAACTTCAATATATGGTAGAACATTCCCAGACAAATTTGGGTTCTAGGCCAGGCAAGAAACAGTACACTCAAAGGCTTCCCTGAGGAAAGCTTAAGGAAGTAACTTCACAGAGATGTAGGCAGGATTTGGGAGACCAAGAAGAGATAGTGGAGCACTTAGGAAGTTGTGGAGTAATAGTAGAATGTTGTTACTATCCCTGAGGATAAAAGAGTAAGGAGAAGGAAGATTGTTACTAAAGCTGAGTGAGAGCTTGGAGTCCTCAAAGTGAGACTGCCCAGCAAGAAGCAGAACCTACGACTGCAGGGTTGCTGGAAAGAGAAGGTATAAGTGCATACCATCACCTGTCTGTCTCTTCTACTCTCCAATCTCTCAGCATTACCCAACCCCAAACTCACTGCCATCAAGTTCATTCCTACTCAGAGACAATATATAGGGCTTTGGAGACTATAAGTCTTTACAGGAGGAAATAGCCTCATTTTTTTCCTAAGGAGTAGCTACTGGAGTGAATGACTTACCTTGCAGTTAGCAGCCTAACCCACAGTACCACTAGGGCTTCTTACTCAACAGGAGGTCAAAAGGGAGACAGCCAGAAGATGATTTTCTGTAGTAAAGCTTTGTATTAGGAAGAAGAGAGCAGGGCAGACAAGGACAGAAGATGGATGAGGACAGAAGGGAAGCAGCAAAGAGAATAACCAGCTCAAAGAGAACAGTAGTTTAATTCTTCTTCCCTTTAACACTATAGAACAATACAGTCTACATATAAATATAATAGGACATTATTGGGCTCTGGAAGACCCCATGAAGTGAGAGACCTAACACATAGTTGTTAATGACATTGGCTTCTCTGTACCTTCAATTTCTGGTAAAAATTATTTCATTGAGTACATACTTATTGAAACTTAGCATTGTAGCAGGTCTTATAAAATATTTAAATAAAAGGTAAATGAAATAAGCAAAGCCTCTTTCCCCTTAAGCTTACTTTCTACAGAAAAACAACTCAACAAAAATAGCTCCATGATACAAAGTGATGTGGATGAAAGTAATTCAGAGGCTACGTTGCTGCTGCTGCATGCTATCAAGTCAGTTTTGACTCACAGAGACCCCGTTTAGGTTTTCTAAGGCTGTAAACCTTTATGGGGGAGAGAAATCCCCATCTTTCTCCTGTGGAGCAATTGGTGGATTCAAGCTGCTGATCCTGCAGTTAGCATCCTGGCACATAACCCACTACACTCCCAGGGATCCTTAGAGGCTACACTGTTGTTGGTGTTAAGTGTTATCGAGTCAGTTCTGACTCATAGCGATTCTGTATAGGGTTTCCAAGGAGCAGCTGGTGGCTTTGAATTGCTGACATTGCAGTTCATAGTCCAGTGCTTATCCTACAGCACCACACCAGGACTCCAGTAGCTAGTAAAAGGCTTCCAAAATAGGTAACTTTTAAGAGGAAACCTGAAAGATCTGGGCAGAGAAAATAACTAGTGAAGACAAGGGGCCAGTTTTAAAGAACTATGGGACCAGAAAAAATCAGAATGAGGAGTGCAGAGAGCAGAGGGGGAGATAATATCGATGAGGTCAGAAAAGAAGTACGGGCCAGATCAAGAAGAGATTGGCTAGTAGGTTTGGACTTTTAAGCATGCAAGGAAGTTATTGGAGGGTTAAGAGCTGGGGAGACATTTGAATTGATTTGCAGGTTGAAAAGATCCCTCTGCAGCTATGTGGGGAATGGACAGTGGAGGTAGCACAAGAGTGGAAGCAGTGCGACCACTTAGGACACTCTAGAATATTCCAGGCAACTGATACAGAAACTTGAATTAGGACAGTTGTGGTAGATACAGAAAGAAGCGAAAGGATTGGGGACCTATTTAAGAAGTGGTGCCTACAGAATTTGCTTATGGGATGTATGTAGGAATGAGGAAGAAGAAAGAGATCAAAGATGATTCCTGTGTTTTGTATTGAATGATTGGATGGATGATGGTATTGTTGTTAAGTGTTGTCGAGTTGGTTCAGACTCATAGCGACCCTGTAGAGTTTCCAAGGAACAGCTTGTGGGTTGGAACTGCCAACCTTGTGATTGGCTGTCTAGTGCTTTTCCTATAGTGCCATATTAAATTGGGGGGGAGACTGTGGGAGTAACAACTTTGATGGATGAGTTATGAACCACTTTTTGGACTTGAGTTTGAGATGCTTATAGGCCAACAAAGAGATATCAGGGAAGCCATTGTTTATATGATTCTTCCTGGATATTAGGAGGAAGGATAGTAATATTTGCCTTAGAGGATTATTGGGAGATTTAAATGAGATAATGCTTGTAAAGTGCACAAAGAAATAGGCATTCCATAGTTTAGTTCCTTTCCTAACATGTTATTAAAATCTTTGAACACAACCTACAGAGTTTAGATTAAATATAAGTACTTGGGGGAACATCCTTCATGAAGTATGTCTCTGTCTACCCTCTCCCTTGTTGTTGTTAAGTGTCGTTGAGTCGATTTTGACTCATAGTGACCCTGTATAGGGTTTCTGAGGAGTGACCAGTGAGTTTGAATCCCTCAAATTGAGGTGTGTAGTCTTGTTATCCTATAGCCCCACACCCGGACTCCCATGTTACACTCCTCCTTTCCCAACATCCATAAACTGTAAAGGATTGTCCTAACAATAGGAGCCCTGGTGTGGCACTGTAGAATAAGCACCGGACTGCTAACCAAAAGGTTAGCATCTCCTCGGAAAGCCTATACAGGGTCACTGTGAGTTGAAACCGACTTGACAGCACTTAACAACAACAAGCTCCAGTAGCAAACTCACTTGGATCCCTTTTATTTTCATTTAGTCATGGCCTGAAGATGCACTTCAGGCAGTTGCCTCACGCTTCTTAGAAGACATTGAGATGTCAGATGAAACACGAGACGGCTGTATCGACATGTGTAAAAGCTTCCACACTTCTACTATAAACTTATCAAAATCCTTCTACATTGAACTTCAAAGATACAATTATGTGACTCCTACCTCTTATCTTGAACTAATCTCCACCTTCAAGCTGTTATTAGAAAAAAAAAGAAGGTAAAAGAGCAATTTTGTATTTCTAAGTAAGCAATGGTGGTTTTAAGATAATGTGTGTACAGAAATCACATAAAAATGATGCAATATAGATTTGTTTCACTTAATACACTGTGAATTTTATTAAATCTTGAGGTAATTTCATCCATAAGCATCTGAAGATGGGTATGTATGATCATGTTTATAGAAAGAAGAAGGATATGCCACTCCGAGCTATGTTAGGACCTCAGGAGATTTGACAGTGATTTTTTTCAGTAAACACCTCTAGGAAAAGTAAACATTTTTGTGCCTTTAAGTCAAAATCCCATTTAGTTAATAAGTAATTATTAAACCTTTAAAGAAAATTAAGGTTATCCATCTTTCTTGGATAAGTAATTGGATAATAGATGAACCACTAAAAACTCTTCTTTGTATGTATTGCCTATTCTCTTTGGGCACTGAACAGCTGAGACCACAGAGGTAGCCATTCAATATACATGGCCAGTTTTCCTTTTCTAAATAGACTTGCATTTAAACACATCAGTAAACTTCTCAACTATAGAAAACGCCAATGTGAGTGTTTTAATGTCTTTCAGGGTGGCTTTTGCATGCAAAAATAAAAGTATACTAAAAAGTGTCTCTGGTTCTAATAATGAGTACTCAGTACATATAATAATTGAAGACTTATTAACGTTAAGCTAGAATTACACTAACCAAATCCTGGTGTGGTACTGTAAGGTAAGTACTGGATCACAAGGTCAGTTTGAACTACAAGGATCCTTCCGAGTAGGAACTGACTCTACTGGCACTTAACACCAACAATACTAACCACAAAGTGGATAGTTCAAATCCACTAGCAGCTCTTGGAAACCCCTTACAGGGTAGGGTTGCTGAGAGTCAGAACAGATTCCATGGCACACAACAATACCCACAACAAGGTTAGAAGTTTAGAAAATGTTAATGGTCACCTCTAAGGGCATCTTTGATTAATGTTTGGTCACGTTATAAATTTCAGTTAAACAAAAATTTTTGTATTACATCTCCCTTTACAATATATTATTGTTTCTCTTTTAAGGTTTGAGTTAACAAATCAAACCTCATTAGGTACTTAAATTATTTATAAATTAGTAAGTTGAACCTTGAATTCTTTAAATGTTTGAATCTTATTTATCAACTAAATGGGATTTTGACTTAAAAACACAAATGTTAATCTATTGCTCAATTATACAATTTAAATTGGAATTGCAAGGCTGACTTGTTAATCTAAAAAGATACTTTTATATTAAAACAATATATTTTAAACACCAAATACATAAAGGTTCCTTATCACAAATTATTTATCCTATTGAGTTTGAGTTTTGTATACATGTTTACGCTTAATTTTAAATCTTTGTGTGACTAACTCACTATTCTCAAGTGATTTAAAAAAAATTTTTTTTTGGGTAAAATGTGTATTACAAAATACTTGCCATTTTAACCATTTTAAACTGTACAATTCAGTGACATTAACTACACTCAACATGCCATGCCATCATCACTGCTATCCATTTCCAAATGTTTGTCATCAACCTAAACAGAAACTCAGCCCCCTTAAGCAATAACTAACCCATTTCCCCTCCTACCAGCCCCTGGGAACCACTAACAGACTCTTCTCTCTATGCATTGCCTATTCTAGGTATTTCATAGAAGTAGGATTATATAATATTTGTCCTTTTGTGACCTTCTTTTATTTCTCTCAGCATACTGTTTTCAAGGTTCATCTATGTTGTAACATTTATGAGAATTTCACTTTTTTTATGGCTGTATAATAAGGAGCCATGATGTTGCAGTTATTAAGTATTTGGCTGCTAACCTGCTAATTGAAGCTCACCAGCTGCTTTGTAGGAGAAAGATGTGGCAGTCTGCTTGGAAACACTGTAGGACAGTTCTACTCTACCCCGAGGGGCAGCTATGAGTCAGAATCGACTCATTAGTAACAGGTTTTTATATGATAGACCTCATTTTTCTTTACCCATTCATCTGTTATAGAGAGGTGGTTTCCACCTTTTGGCTATTGTAAATAGCTGCAGTGAACATCCCTGTGTAAATGTCTGTTTGAGTCTCTGCTTTTTAAGTCTTTGGGGTATATTCCTAGGAGTGAAATTGCTGGGTCATATAATTCTGCAGTGGGTTTGAACCACAAGAGGTTCAAACTCATCAGTCACTCCTTGGAAACCCTATACAGGGTTATTATGAGTCAGAACCAACTCAACGGCACTTAACAACAACATGATAATTCTATGTTTAACCTTTTGAGGACCCACCAAATTGTTTTCCATAGCAGCTGCACCATTTTATGTTCCCATCAGCAATGAATGAGGATTGTTCCAATTTTTCAACATCCTCACAAACACTGCAATTTCTGTTTATCTGATAACAACAACCTTATGTAATATCTCATCGTGGTTTTGACTTCCATTTTGTTAATGACTAATTACCTTGAGCATGCTTTCACTTGCTCTTTGGCCCTTCATATGACTTTCTTAGATAGTCAGAGTCTTCTGTCTATTGTGAGCACATAATCAAAATCATAAACGACATTTAAAATTTAATCTGAATTTCTAAGTGCTTTTGATCCTCTTGTATGGGAAAAATATTATATATACATATAAAGATGCAAGACTATATTAAGTTAAAGAACATACAATATACATGGAAAGACAATCATCTTAACAGACTTGGGTGGGAACATGGAAGAATTAACAGTGGTATGACTGAAACCCAGGGCATGAACCATGGCATCTAGAAAAGTTATAGCATCACTTGGGAGTGCATTGCAATAGTCAATATATATATATATATATGGCTGTTGTTAAGTGCCATTGAGTTGGTTCCAACCCATAGAGACCCTGTATAGGGTTTCTGAGTATTGGCTGGTGAGTTTGAGCCACTGACCTAGTAGTCAAGCACTTATCTTACAGTACTACAACAAGACTTTATATATATATATATATTGTTGTTGTTGTTAAGTGCCGTCGAGTCGGTTCCGACCCATAACCACCCTGTACAGGGTTTCCGAGGGTGTAAA